GTGGCCGAGTGCTGTGGTGTCCCGAGTGCGGGCACTCAGGGCACTCCAAGCCAGGACTGCTTTGCTGTCCCTCATCGAGGTAGACAAGCAAGCGGGGAACCCTGAGAACTGTCTGTCCGGGGTGGGGGTAGGGTCCCTTTAAGCATGGAGCTCAGATAGTGTGTGGGGCTGCTGCCTGAGGCTAAGTCCTAACCTGATGCCCTGCCAGCACTGGTTCTGGCCAGCCTTAACTTTGGTTCAGGGTCCAATCAGTGTGGACGTGCTATTTCTAAATAGGTTTTGTGTGTAGATGCATTAATTTGAATGAGTTTAATTCGAATTAAGTTAACTCAAATTAACGCTGTAATGTAGACGTACCCTAAGAGACTACAACAGACTCCATTTTGGAATATGTGGTGTTTGATTACTGAGATCTATTATCAGGAGAAAACCACAGAGGTTATTCGCCATATAATTAATCTATGAGTCCAATATTCTCCTCTTCTTTTGGACTATCTGGCACTTTTGTTTGGCAGCTAGAGACTGATGCAGTTTACTAGTTCACCACAGTTGTATTTGACCCCGCTTCCACATACACTGGAGAAAGAAGGTGCAAAGAGGCCCTCCCCCACTCAGCATATTACTGCAGGATGTGGATGGCAGCATGTTGAAGCACAAGGACCAGGCAGTGTCATTGGCACTGCTTACCTAGCCAGCAGGAACCCATCCCCACCAGACTCCATCAAAGGACACAGGGCTGAGACCAGGCTACACTTTTTCAGAAATGAAAAAATGTACTGCTTGCCACGCTCCATCAGAGGCCTCAGAATAAGGATTCCAGAGTGATCTTTCCCAAGACTACAGGGCTCAAAATCAGAGCTCAGGCCATATAGTTTTACTGATAATGAAGCACTGAAGTCAGTGGTGGACAATCTGCAGCATGCAGACCCACCCTAGCTTCTCCCCTTCCCCACACACCTCTCACAAATTGGGGCACCGGAGCCCCACACTTCCTACATCTACCCCCCCGTCCCAGAACTTTTGGAGGATGTGAATTGCCTTATTTGCACTCCGTCCCTGCCCCTTCCCCATCTGCCCAGAGCTGAAACGACACAGTTTCAGCTCTGGGAGGGAGGGGAAGGATCATGAATCAGGCAATTTGAGCATTCTGAAAATGCTGGGAGGGAGGGCAGATGGGGGGGGGGGGGGGGGCACAACGGGAGAA